GATTATACATTTTGCCTGTTCTTCATGGTTTATCGTGTGCGTTACTTCGGTCATCTTGAAAATAAATTTAAGTACAATGATTGTCTCCAAAATCTATGCTTTTGTGGAAGCAGGAGTTCTTATAAATTTAATTATACAAGTAAAAATAAAAAAATAAATAGCAAAAATAGCGATTTGATTAACTAAATTTAAATAAATCTATTAATAGAGTTGAATTACAACATAAATATGAACGTAAAAACTCTAATTTGATTGCGGATTTTAAATATTTTTTTAAATATCCATCTACTAATATATATTATTTATTATATTTTAATAGTAATGTAATTTTTTCATTTATCAACGTGTAATTTAAATTTTAAATATTAAAATACTTTAATTTTTAAATAAAAAAAAATCAGTACCCTAGAGTGCTTCTTAAATAATATTTAGACAGAAATATAGAGTTTATAAAGGTTTCGAGTAATTGAAAATTTGAAATATGCTTACTTCCCGAAGCTCCAATATCATATGAATATACAGAATCGTCAAAATTTAACGAATCACTTATTTAATTGAAAAATAATAATAGTACTGATAATTTTTTGTTATATTCTTTAGTCACATACATTTTTTACATTTATCATTCGAGAAGTATTTTGTTATGTTTATTGCTTATAACTTAATAAGGGTCTCAAATTGATTGAAGTTGAAACCCTTTCAAATAGCAAAATACATGATCAACTAAATTATTTATTTTATAATGATCTTATTAAGAAAATGATTGGTTAAAAACAACTTATGGGCTAATATTTCAGAGATTATTAAAACTTTATATCTAGGCTGGAGGATAGATTTTCTTAATTCGATAATTATGATTATGGATAATTATCGAATAAATAAGCTAGTTATGTATAATGTTATTTAAAAAAGTTAAGCACACTTCTTATATCATATAAAGATGAACATAAAAAATACTCCATGATTGATAAATTGTGAAAAGCATGTAAACCGAAAGAAAAAGAGTATCAATATTATTTTTATTTTTTGATTAAATAAGTGGTTCATTAAATTCGATAGATTATTGTCATAATTAACTGATTTTACAGCTATATTTTTATATGCTATTGCCATATTATTATTATTTTTATAATGGAAATTATTAATATTGTTATAGTGCTAAAATAATATAAATTACAATTGCTTTTATTTGAATTATTACGGTTTTTATCAATATATGAAGATTTACTACATCATGATACTAAATTCCATGATGCAAATTTTGCTTGAATTGAGTTCTAAAAGATAATTATGAAACCGTGAATTATTAGAACTGGAAAATATTTATAATATATATGTATTCTATTTATATCATTGATAAAAAAATGATGTGACATTGACAAAATAAAAGATTGATCCAATTCAGTTAATATCCAATAAGTTTATTGATATATACTAGAAATATCAGAGGACCTAAAACAGCGCGTTGTCGTATACCACTATTAGAAATAAGATAATCATTACTTGTTGTTTTGGATTTTTAAAATATTACTTATTTGAAACATCTCAGTTTATATTTTAGTTTGCAGAAAGTTGTAAAATGTTGTGTTTATTTTTGATCGTTCTTATTTCTTTCTCGGGCGATTTTGGCTTGTTACTTATGTTGAATGTAAACCATTCCAAAAAAAACCGAGTGTTGTCCGTAAAGTGGGAACTCCGTGAGAAAAAAAAAATCGCGATTCTTTAAAAGCAATGAAAATCCTTTTGGTAGTTTTTTTTTTTTTCTATTTCACCGTTTCAATATTGCAACAGTCGACCGTTTAAATTGAAAAAGCGGCGGCAATCCCAGTTTACAGGCTAAGAATAGCGGCGGTGGGTTTTTCTTTATTCGTTCCAAGCACGTACCGACGACCAATCAACTCCAGGGACTTAGGGGATACACACTGTACTCCTAGTACATTAAATCCGGTCACTCAGTAAAATACTCGATATTTACGAATAAAGCCGATCTGTCGGTAGTTACTGATGATCGTGTTGGCCGGCTTAAAATGTCCATTTGCGGTCCATTCATATTTTATGCTTTAATTGAATAAAACGTCAGGATACCTTTTAAGTATATTGTAGCGTCAACAATATCCCAAAGGCACCCAGTAATCCGTTTTGTATCGGAATAACAGCCAAACGTGCTGGCAGACGAGCTGCGTTTATTGGACAATCAATTATTTATTATGTATGTGTTCAGTTTTGAGGTGGCCAGTTACTTAACCTAGTCGCCAAAAACGTTGGAAATCAAGGGCCTTATTAAAATATTCTATCACTTGATCAACGCTTTTTCGACCGACTAGACAAAGAGCTAAATTTTATTCGAATTGACGCAAGACCGCGTAGTTTCTTTGTACTTTACTTAAACTTTTCCCTGTAATCGTCATCGTCATTTAATTCCTACGGAAATGTAAAATTCAAAAGTTCGTGAAAGGCAACGAGAGTTTAATTTGAAAATGAAATGGATTCCGCGATATACGCTAATAACGTTGAAATGAAATGTTAAGTTTTATCGGAGCACAATAAAGTGAGTCGGAAAGTTTTTGTGTCTGGTTGTCGCTACGAGAAAAATTGTTAAATTGTTACTTTTTTTCTAAAAATGTTATTCCGTTTTGATGAAGTAACTTCTCCGTGTAACGTGTTGATGATTTTAATGGCACCGGACGTAATTTTTGAACGGATAATTATGAATTGCTGCTGAACACGAACGTTTCATATATGTTAATAGGAAATATAATAGACAAAAATCATTTTTTATCTATTAAAACATATTGTAATCGGTACTTAAAAAGGTCATTTTGCCCCGCAGTAATCCGAATCCGGTGCTTAAGTGGCGTAACGATTTTAAAAGGTGTGTGCTGCGTTTATTATCATTATTATTACTGTCTTAATAGAGAAACGCTATTAATTTTTGTGTTTTTAATTCAACCAATAGACAATACATAGTTATATTATATTAACGCGGACCATAGTGTTTTTATACGGGTGTAATCCGATGCAAATTTATTATTATGGTTATCCGCTTTATTAAGATTTATTAAACCGACAAATAACTTTAGAAATTGTACTCTTATCCGAATACAACGCGCAACACTAGTAATGAATTACTCAGTTCTTTATGAAAACCTTTTTTTATTATCATTATTTTTGAGAGACCGAGGAAAAGAAAAAGTACCTCTATGGTAATTTTTAAGTTTGACGATTAGACAATTTGAAAATATTTTACTTACAAATCCAGTAAATTATTATTAATTGAAAGGCCCAATTAATTTCCTTTATTATTTAATTCAATAGAAAAAAACAGTGAAATTTCATGAGATATTCAAAACAAAAAATATTATTAATATAATATATATTAGTCTGTTAAATTTATTAATCTTGAAAATAAATCATCATTATTTTATTATAATTTCATAATTAATTAAAATATTGTCTTAATTGAAAGTAAAAATAATTAGTCAAAGATTAACGGTAAGTAAACTTTGTTGCTTCTGAATTCAATTACATTAATTCTAGAAGTTTTTTTACTAATAAGAATAAATTTATTTTTTCCATCTTATAGGTCTACTATGTTTTAATAAACACATAAACTGCTATAAATGATTATCATACTTAAAACAACGTATTCAATATTCAAATTAAGATATATTTTAGATTTTTACATTAAGATATATTTTTCCTTGGAAATAAAATAATTACTTTAATTATCGTTTAGGTATCTTCGGTTAATATGACAGTTTAATTTTATTTAACACTTTTTAGTTAAATACAATATCTTGTAAGAATGAAAAAANATTTATTTTTTCCATCTTATAGGTCTACTATGTTTTAATAAACACATTAACTGCTATAAATGATTGTCATACTTAAAACAACGTATTCAATATTCAAATTAAGATATATTTTTCCTTGGAAATAAAATAATTACTTTAATTATCGTTTAGGTATCTTCAGTTAATATGACAGTTTAATTTTATTTAACACTTTTTAGTTAAATACAATATCTTGTAAGAATGAAAAAAAATACTATACAGGTTAACTCATCCATAATTATGCTTGAGTTATAATATTGACTTTAGAATATTGTCCTTAACTTAACAATAATATTCATACTTTTCTTAAAACATTTTAAATGTATGAATTTAAATTATTAAGAAATTTACAATAATCGTTTATATTTTATTTTAATGTAACATAAATTTTAAAGCTTCTATTTACTCTTTACGATTACATTATAGTATAAATCATTTACTTCAATGAATTTGTTAACAATATTTAATATAACATAATTTTAATTTTATAGAAATGTTGTCTATTATAATTTTCAAGTTTTGATTAAAATTTTTATTTTAAATTTGCCTGAGACGTTATTCATTTATTAGTAAAATTCATTATGGACAATTTTTGCTAAAAATATAAATAAAAAAACCCTAATGCAAGTTTTATTTGAGTGGCTATATTTTAATAAAAACTTTGGAAACTTTTAGCGTTGAACTTATAATCATTTTTTCTAGCTATTTTTTTAATTATAATTATAATTTTATTTTTTTTGTTTGGTGTGTAATCAAAAACCGACATTATTACTAATAAGAGAATCTCTACATTTTATAAAAATACCTTTTTTTCTTTAACGATTCGATGAAAAGTCTAGGCCGTTTTTTTGAAAATAAGTATGACACTTATTTTTAATTTGTGTATGACACACAAATTTAAAAGCCCAAAACAACAAGTGAAACTCGTTACAGCTATTTTTAAACAACCCTTTTATAAAATCATTAAAACAATAATAGTGAGTTTAAAGAAAAATAGATTTTTTTATGAATTTTGAATTGTGTAATTATCGACTAACAACTAATTATTTGAGAAATTAGATGTGGTTGAACAAGTCTAAAGTCATATGAGGAATCGGCAACAAAAGTCCTCATTAGGATTTTATTTAGATATCGGACATTTACTGTGTAATTAATAAAAATATTTACCATTATGTTTCGATTTCGGAGTTACCAAACGAAACGCGCTACTGTTTCCGGTGTTGGCTGATGTAGTGCCGCCGACGGTTGCCGAATTGTTGTGCATTTGAATGAACTCAAACAAACCGGTCGGCGGTCGCGGTTGTGCCGATATCGGTTGTGGTGATCCACCGGCGCCTGCGGCAGACGCCGTTGACGCCACCGACGATGATGACGAGCACCGGTCAAGTGGCGTTCGCTTGACGGACACGCTGAAGTCGATCGGCGCGGCGGATACGGATACTTCCATCGCACGGCTGCCACGACCGAATAAAGACGGGTACGACGGTTCGTCAAATCCGTTGGTTTTGCTGTTGTTGTACAAACAAAGTTATAAGAACGGTTATGTTTTGAAACAGGCGGAACGTCGCACCAGCAGCCCGTCGGCCGTAACGGCAAATATATAAATGTCGCGAGATGATATCGGTTGTACCGTTGACGGCAGCGGTTGACGATAATCCTATCCAGACGATAATGCACGGCGGCGGTGGCACCGCAAGAGGCCCGTCGTCGTGGGGCGGCGCTACTGGTACACTCCTCCCACGAAACGGCTTTTGACTAACCGCAACGCGGACCTTTCGTCGCAGAGGTTTACTCTCTCCCTGCACAGTTATTACTATTATTATTATTATTATTTATATATACGTATAATATGGCAAACTTCTATACAACATTACTATACACATATGTGTGTGTGTGTGTATGCGGTTTACCGTAAGCTGCTGTACAGTATTTCATATGAAATGTACGTTTATCAACCTTTATCTTTTTTGTCGTCGTATCTAACTCTTCACTGACCTACCTACCCTTAACTATAATAATTTAACGCACTGTTGTTCTCATCAAATCTGTAGGATAAAACATAAAAGTCAATTTTATTCTCTACTCGATAAACTTTGTTCGAAATAAACGTTAACATATTGTAGATAAACAATATACTGGTTGAATATTTACAATATAAAACCAATCAACTTTTGACGAAAAAAAACATTTTAGTTAGAAATATTATTGTGCATTACGGTTACCATGCTTTTTAATTGTTAATGAATGGGGCTAATACCGAAAAAAATATTTTTTACCTATATTAAAGATAACATGGTCATTTTGGGGCTAGCTTTAATAGTTCCCCATGGATATGCTACTGAATTTTTACATGCATTATGTAAAAATTACATTATTTTTAAGTGATCATACAATAATTAAAAAAACATTGATAATCAAAAAGTTGTATTATTTTAAATGAATATTATTGTTTTATCATTTGTTACCATGATAGAAAAACTTTGAGTTAGAATAGCCGAGCTAAAATAAAAAATTTGAATCTGAATGGAGTTCGTAGCTTTTAAGAAAATTCATGTATTTTACAATATATACATAATAAACCTTTAAATTTAATAACATTAATTTTCATGATTACGAATTTATTAATAAACAAATTTCATCTAGTATCCTAAAATTTAAGTGTTATAAAAACATAAATGTTTTGTTTTTTTATTTATATAATCAAGTTAGCAAGTTATGTGACACACGTTAAATCTTAGTGCAAAAATTATATAAGAAAAAATTAACACAAAGAAAATTTTACTACTGAATCCAATAAATGTTAGTTGTCACAAACTCCTGGAGAAATTGTTCTGAAAATTGCAATTGACAAGTAACAAAAGTTCAAACTTTTGCAGTAAAACTTACAAAAAATAAAACTTTTATTTACAGACTTATAAAATTGATTTTATTTTTAAAAAACCGTTAGAACGAATAACTAATATCAAATAGGTAAAAAATGTTTTTTTCAAAACATGGGTATCATGTTATAATATATCATAATATATAATTTATATTGTACAATGTAATATTGATTATAGAAATCTAGATCAAAGTGAAATATAGACCTATTTTTTTATACAAGCACTCGTAGTAGAAAACCTCAACATTTTTCGTTGCAATTTACAAATAATAATAGTAAAATTATCGTTGATATATTAAGTTTTTAGTATTAAAATAATAATAATAATGTATTATCTATAGAAGTACATAAAAACTAGGCTTTATATAAAACTATTTTACACTCATTATTCGTAATGCAAATTGATCTAAACTATATTACGTATTTAAAAGAAAAAGGTCTAAATATTTCAATTAAGAAATCATTAATGTTTACTTAATACAAACTTAGTAATTAAGTTATGTAACGATTACTATATGAAACTATTTTTACAAAATTAAATATAAAATTATAAATAAAGTTTATTTTTCAGCCAGTTCTTTTTGAATTTCAGCAAGAGTGCGGTTTTGAGTTTCAGGTACTAGTACCAAAGAAAATACTGCAGCTATCCAACAAAATAAACCAAAAATCAAAAACGTTCCACCGTTACCCACAATCTTAGCCAAATACTCTGCTGAGTATGTCACCAAGAACACCAACAGCCAATTGATGGCCGTGGCAATACTGGTACCATATGGCTTGACCTTGAATATAAAAACATGGATATATTATCATTTCACAGTATCGTTTTTAGAAGTGAAAAAAGAGTTGCAATTTTTACTTCATTAGAAAAAATTTCTCCCATAACTACCCAGGGTATAGGACCAAATCCCAAAGCAAAAGCTGAAATAAACATTGCAATAGACACCAACGGTATCCAAGCTATTGACTCTGATAGTAAAGGGTTTCGTTCGTAGTGAAAATAATAGTGGGCCAAAATTATGTGACTGATTCCCATCATGACACCTGAAAATATCAATAGTTTCCGACGACCAGCCTTATCTATCACTAACATTGTTATAAAAGTCATAAGCAACTGAAAAAAAAAATTCATTACTAAGAAATAGGACCAAAGATTTCAAATAAATCAACCTGAACTGCAGAAACAATAATAGCAGCCTTTTTCGGATTGATGTTACTGCCGGTATCCTCAAAAATACCGGTCATATAAAAAACTACCACATTGATACCACTGGCTTGTTGGAAAAACATACAGCCAACACCGATGTACAAAGCCCTCCTGTTCACTTTACTCGACATGACTTCAAAAAATGACATTTTTTCCGATCTAGTTTGTTCCTCACTGGCTTTCTTGTGATAGCAAAAATAAAAATTAGAGTTAGCATCACATTATCTTGAGCGGTCATAACCAATTCATTTGTTAATAAAATTTTTTTACTTTTATTTCGGCCAGTTCTTGAGTGGTGTCAGCGTTTGTTCCTCGTAATTTTTTTAGCGCAAGAGCTGCTTTATCGTCCATGTTCTTGCTGAGGAAATAATACGGAGATTCCGGAATGAGTAAAACTCCTACAATGTGGCTTACTGCCCAGACACAACAAGCGGCATTAAAGAATACATAAGGCAAAAAGGCACCAGCTACGTAGGCGAACATAATACCAACCACAGTTAATCCTTGAAACATGGAGCCCAATCTACCTAAAAAAAAATTTTATAAAGTAAAAAAGTCAAATTGTTATTTCTCTATTCTTACCCTCTAGTAAAATGACGAAATGATGGGTTTATAATAGCTAAAGATATGAATAGCTTTAATATAATAGTTAAAGATAAAATGTTAAAAAGAATATGTCTAAAAATATTATAATATAATGAGATCAAATAAACAATGCTAAATAAGCATGGTGTGCTTATAGCTAAAATGTAGATAAATGTTGATTGAAGGTTACCTCTGACGCTGGCCTGGGAAATTTCACCAACGTAGGAAGGTATGACGGCGCACAAAGCACCTACTCCTATGCCTTGGAGTATTCGTCCAACAATCAACATCCATACGGCTCTCGGTATGGTCAGGAATAGCCAACCTAAACACATAAATAACTCGAAAATGACCATGCTCTTACAACGACCAAATATTTTTGCTACAGTCCCAGCGGGTAGAGCGCCAAAAGCTGCGCCAATTCCAAATACTGATCCATATGTCTGTGTATTGGACCTTGTCACAGGAAAAGGTGATGGAAACTGACCTTCCTCCAGCATTTTAATTGCTGGAGAAGACCATCCTATACAAGTACCTAAAGCCAGTGCACCTAAGGAGGCTGTTAAGCAATACAGTAATAGTTGTAATGGAATTTATTTAGATAACATAAAGTGAAATATTTGCATCCTTTATTCTCACCAACAATGGCAGCCAGACTTTGAAGGTAAAAATCTTTAATGGATCTCATTCTCACTGGAGAATAAATTTAACTAAACTTAATACTTTATGTCATCTTGAAAGCAAAATTTGAGAGTATATCTATGTAACATTTTTCATTCAAAATAGTTAAAACAAATGAATGATTATTACTTCCTAGGTAACGGTTCACTCAAAATCAGCCAACATTTAAACACAGGACTAATCAAATTTTGGTTATAATTGATTTATTTTGAACAAAATAATTAATATTTCATTTTTAAGTTCAAAATTTATGCGTATTTCATCACTTATATAAATGATAATAAAGTACAAAGTAACAATTAAACATATGGACATTGATGTTAATTACACAAACAATTCATAAGCAAGAAAAATATTTTTAAGTTTAAAATACTCTGAATAAAAGCCCAAGAGTAAATAAAAGAGCTTTTTCAAAAATGACAGGTATATTTATATGAAACAATTTAATATACCCTTGATAAAATGTAAAAGCTAGTAATGGAATTTTTTAACTTCTTCGTGATGACCCACTTCTTACCATCATAATAAAGTATTCATTTTTAGTATAATCCAAAGTAATTTAACTGTGGTATTACTTGATGTAAACCTCAATTTATAATAAAAATGAAGGGAAAAGGAAAAAGTTTTATTTTTTATTGTGTTTGATTCAAAGTTTCTGGTATAATAATATCATTGTCATAAAATGTAGATCCAAGGAAATAAAAATATGTATAAAGTTTCATATCAAGGGGCTAAGGAATTCTGGCCGTTTGTTGGTTAAGTGATAAAGTTTCAGCTCACAAGAGAAGGGGCGCGCGATGTCAAATACGTGAAAACGAGCTGTACGAAAGAACGGACAAATAGCATTGCAAAAGGTTTTTTATTTTATTTTTCATAACAAGCATAGATGGTATAATTTTGAATAAGTAGGTAGAGACCACATATCGAATGCGGTAACTGAATTTCTCAGTAATATCTACTTCCAAGGGCTCAAGCCACGCATACAGATTTTTGGATCAGCAGTAAAAGCGTTTGGTAACTATATATTTATACACACACATTTATATGTATACATTATGTGCATGCAAGATAAGTTAAAAAAAGGGATGATTTTCTTAGAACGGCAAGGGTCGCATTTAAATTCATCGAGGGTTGGGTGTAAATAATGACTTCAACACTGTTGGCTGATATTGTCCAACCACGCCTCTTTCTCATTACTTATAACTCATAAGTTACTACATACCTTATATTATTTTGAATAGAAAGTGTCACCGCATATAACGATAAAAAAAGCGAAATGTAAAAACCAACCGAGACGATTTGTAGAGAAAACAACAACCAACCCGCAATATCAGTCCCACTGAATCCAAATTCATCATAAACAATAATCGTTTTTAACTTTATTATAGTGAAATGTATGGTTTCTCCTCGAGAGGGTCATTTGATACTCTACACCTCTTTGTCACCAATAAGTGTCTTTTGCGTTCCCCTTCAAGTATACAGACATAGTCTATTATATTATGCAAATTATAAAATGAATAGTGGTATTGCACTATCCACGCTAATGATATAACAGTTGCCTTCTCTGCCGTAAAGTTTAATTTTGTGTATTACATCATTGAATTATAATTGTGCATTTTATAATAAATACATAAAGAATTAGAAATTGTAATTTGCTGTAGGTATTTGATCAATATTTCATTAGTACTCGTGTAAATGAAGTTAAGTATCATTTTATTTTTTTGTCAAGGCTACCCGTTTAAGTACTATGATGGCGTTGATAATAGGTTTAGTAACGTCGCTTCTCGCCAGATAAATTTCCTTATTCGACTCTAAATAATTTATCAGATCGGTTGTTGAATATATATGGCATCACGTTCGTTCGATTTGTAGAAAAAAAGAAACATCTACACTTTTGCTATTTTACAATTTAGTCCCTTTTACGCAGTAAAAAGGAAATAAATGAACGACAATCGTCCATTGTCGACCCTTAAGTTTACTTATCTGCTTAACATTATTTTCCCTAACAGCATACAAGCATACATCCTTTGTGTGTACATTGTTAACCTTTACGAATAAACCTCAAACACTTAAAAAAATGTACCCAGTTAACACTTACATAGTTCAATAAAACAGATTAAATAAATATGTGATATGCATGCGATTTTAATTGAGTCATATAAAACAGGAAGCAACTAAGTGCAAAAAATTATGTAAAAGAAAGTTTTAAAGACGATATCTTATTAGTTGTTTTTATTTAATCATAGAAAAATATTGCTATATTTATATTGAGGCTTTTAATAATTTTGAATTTGTTGTATTCTTTCTATCAATTTTTTATTATAACTAGTATACACAGTTTACTGTATAAATATGACATTTTTAAAATTTACACGTGGCAACTTGAAATTAAATTTTAAGGACTTCAGATAAAATTATAAAATATTTAACGTCTTTGGTAATACTTAAAATATATAAAATCAAGTTAATTTTATGGATTATTAGTCATTCCAGATCTATTCATTAATATTCCAATTATTTCTTTACCTTAACATTTTAGTAATTCTACAGATTCTTAAATTTTAGCTTTGAGGCAATTCTGAGAAAGTATAATTCTACTATAATTTTTTTTAAGTCTATCCATGAAAATTCATAGATTTCACTGGATCAATTTTAATCTAGTTGAACCTATGAACGCTCAAATTTTATAATACCCNAAGAGTCTATCCATGAAAATTCATAGATTTCACTGGATCAATTTTAATCTAGTTGAACCTATGAACGCTCAAATTTTATAATACCCCCTCATTTTAGTAATTTAAAAAAATATCTCAAAATTACGCCATTTTAAAAAATGGGATTTCCAAAATTATTTTTCTGCATTTTAAAACTACTATAATGTTTAAAAAAACTGACCCTAATGTTAGTGAAATATATTAGATACAATATGATTTTTTTTTTTGGTTTACTTTTCATAAAAATTTAATGAAAAGCCTAAGTACAGGATGAGTTTACAAGTGACATGGTTTACATAGGTGCTAAGCCACCCATGACACTTATAACATTTTTTTTCACCTCAATTTTTTAAATATATCCGAAAGTTCTATTTTGACCAATATCAAAATAGAGCTCTTAAAGTATAATAAAATATTTAAAAAAACCATTCCATGATTATTCTTATATAAGATATATACCGTTAAAGTAAAAAATTCGCAATTAAAAAAAATTATTTGGCTTTTGAATTACAATTATGTTTTGCGTTTCTATGTCATCATAACATTTTCTATTACTTATTAATATATTTTTTTTGCATTACTGTGATTTTTTTAAATTTTCAACTTGAAAATAGAAATATTAGTCAAAATATCAAAGATTGGTTAAGACTGGTGGTAATAAAAAGTACTTTAAACTTGAAGATACTCCTCTGAAAAATGTTTTAACTTAAGTTATAACTTTAAATGGCAAGTAATGACAGGTAAAACAAGTACTCAAGTATATTCATTACAACTTATATTTTAGGTACCTAGTTATTATAATAAAGTTTTTCCTTAAGATTTAGAAATATTTATTAGTATCGATGTGTAGTTGAAATACTATTAGTTGCCTTTTTTTTCATGTCTTTATACTCTACAACTTACACTCCTACAGAATTGATTTTACTCAACGAAACGTCAGAAGACCACAAAACATATCTAGTTGAGGTTGGGTTTTTAGGAGTTTACGGGCACTACAGCAAAAAATTACACAATATTGGAAAGCAATGGCCAATTGTGTAATATTTTTCATATTTGCATCATTCTAAATTATTTCAAATTAAAGCTTATTTAATGTTATGTATAATTAGAAAGGGAAAAACATTCTGACGACGTCCTCTATGAGTAATAAAATTCTAAAGTCATAAATCATGTAATATTTGGTAGATTTGTTAATTTTTTTTTAATATGTCTTCTTTAATTGATTATTGAATAATAATTTATTATTACTGTAATTTTAACTGCAAATAATTCAATTACTCTTGTTGACATGATAATATAATCAATGAAAATTGATCAATAATCGATAAATTGCGTATAACAATGTATAAAAACTTTCAGTGAATTCGATAATTATCGAATTCACTGAAAGTTTTTGGAATAATTATTATTCCAAATTATATCAACTGCAATACATATGTGTTATTTAATTATTAAAAAGTAAACAATCCCTATTATGTTAATTTGTACTTGACCGATGGTGCAATTACTGCAGTACAGAGTACAACCTGATATTAGCGAATTATGATTTCGACCACAGTTTGTATTTTCTCGGTAAAATAACGGAAAGCTTCGATTGAGAGCAAAACGTACACATGAATAATATTAACAAGAAGTAATTTGACGAAGTTCTATATAATTAACAGCGGTTGGTTTAACTTAATGAATAGGTCGTGCGACGAGGTAAAAAAGGGTCGGCAACAATAATAATATTAAAACAACAAAAATCACAAAGAGAAACTTTTACATATACGTTGGGTTGATGTGGCAAAAAAATCATTATACTAATTGCCCACCCACACGCACGCACGCGCGAGCGAGGCCTTCTACTGCCGATTTGTATGCACGTGAGTGTATTTTTTTGGACATCTTAACATCCAGTGGAGGGTAGATAATATGATAATTAATCCAATCGCACCCCTTTACTTTGTGTATCAAGAGCCGCAAGAGATCCGCGGCTGGATAATAGAACAGCGAGCTTTGTTAATGATAATGACGTTCTAATGACTATGGGATAAGTGTATATGAGCACTATCAAAAAGCAAAATTAAAGCCAAAATGCGTGTATGGGAAAAAGTACACCGCTCGGTGGAGTGAAGGAGAGCGAAATCAACATAATGACGTGGCCGTATAAATGCCATTAGACACGTTATCGCAAGTCCCAAAGGTGAAATAATTCAAAGTGCTGATACGACCGACGCCTGTAGACTGCTGAATTGTACACACATGCGATTCGATGGTAAAACGTTACACATATATACTTACGGATGTGTTTACACAAACACGACAGTCTTCGTGATCTAAAAAAAAAAATAAATAAATAAAATTACATACTGATATAGCGTATACATATTGTATGTACGACTGCCGTTCTTCGTCTCAGTCACGCAAATCCC